TCTATCTCTCTCTCTCTCTCTCCCTCTCTCTCTCTCTCTCTCTCTCTCTCCATCCCGCCCGTGCGTCTTTTTGCTTTCGCCCGTTCCTTTTCTGCGTTTTCTTTGTTTTGGTATTTCATTTTTGTTTTCTTTGTTTTCGTATTTCTTTTTTATTTTTTCAGTTTTCGTTATTTGTGTCATGCTGACAGTACTGGGGCGCGGCCTGCAAGCAGCCACCGGGCCTTCCCTTGGCCGACCTCCGAAGGTGTCGGCCCCCGCCTGATAGCTGGGCCAAGTACTGGTGATGTAATGACTTGGTACGCTTATGAAGTGCTGAAATCCAGACACATACCTTTCTCGGCCTTTTGGCTAAGATCAAGAGCCTCGTTCGACACCACTTGAAAATACTTGAGATTCAAGTGCACACTAAACAAGAAATTGTGATTAATTTACACTCACTCGATTGATAGTTCAAAGTACACTTATGGAAAGGGTTGAACAGGCTGCACTTGAAACGGAACTCCACGGCTTGACCAATCTGGACCAGGATTGCCTGCTGGAAAAAAAAAAGAAAAAACAAAAAAAAAGCCCCACTTGGAGTGCTGACGGCGTCCGCTGGCACTTAACTCAAGGTACCTCCGGGAGGTACCTTGAGTTCAAGTGCTATTTTGCTCCAGCGGCACTTAAGTTTCAAGTATGCACACTTGAGAGCAGGAAAGTGAAAACATTACGGCGGGGTCATTAGGGAGGGGTGGAACGAAGAATTTTCCGTCAACCCTTGAGTTCAAGTGGTGTCGAATGAGGCCCCATGTGTAGTATCTGTTCTGATCAGTTTAATATCTGAAATCGAGCCCCATCTTGAAATACAGGCCCAAGTTCAATCCGGACGTAGTAAGAACAAAATAAAGTTGGTTCATCGTGCTCAACTCGTCCAGTTTGTCTAGAAGGACCCACAGGCATTGCAGGCCGTCGAAATTTGGCGGCTGAGATAAAACTGACGGACCATACTTATTTAGACAAATAATGGGATAATTAGTGGCCACCCTACAAATGACTATTCTGTGGCTGTGCGACGTATTCGTGTGGTTGCACCCCATCTAAAAAAAAGACTCTAGGAAGCCGTTGCCGCCGGCACAGCCGCACACAGGTGCTTGCTTATGCATTGGATCGATGGGCACATGGTGACTGGCATTGGCATAGCACTTCCACATACGTCATGGGGAAGACATCTGGTCTGCGTGCGACCGCTATCATTAAGTGTTTGGGCATGCCATTGGGTTCGGCACTTACAAGACCCGTCATCATCATATGCAGAAATTTGCCTGCTTGGGTTTCCCTAACTACTGGGGTTGCATAGACTGCACCCACATTTTTGTTGATAAACCGAAGAAAAAAGACGGAGACGAGTTTATGGGCGGGCACAAGAAAAGGCTCTCCATTGTCGCTCAGTTGGTTTGGGTTTTCACATTAACCTCCGTATCCTGGATCTATGCTATGGGTTTCTTGGCATGGTTGTGACGAACTACTTTCTGAAACGCGCAACTTCCTGCACAGCGGTAATTCGGGGGTTGAATGAAAGGGGCCGGCTCAATTGCATGAGTACCCTCGCTTGAAAGAGCTTGGTCGCATGGCGGTTGGTAGTTGGGCCGCGCCTTAGTGATCATGGAAAATAAATGTTGTCGTAGATTCTTTCTTGGGGGCTCGTTAGACACTCCTCGGGCGCTAAAAAATCCCGAGGAATTGATCATTCCATCTGTCCTCGGAGAGTGCTCCCTCGAAATCGATGTGAAAACATTTCCTCGGGGCGTCCTCGTGGCGTCCTCGGGCTACAGGCATTTGGCTGCGTTCCCCAAGGTACCTCGCGAGGTCCCTCCGAGTGGGAGTTTCCGAGGAAAACATTTCCTCGGGATGGCGGCAGCGCTCTTCGACGACGTCAAAATTTTGTAGTCTGGTACATTGCTGGTCCAGCCGAGGTGCGGGCGGACATTAGTGGCCGGCAACGTTCGACTCCGGTGGGAACGACCGCAACGGTAAGGTCGGGTGGCGGACGGGGTCCCAGGCCGTTTCTGGTTTATCCCAGCCCCTCACCAGCGCCGGCGGGAAACGGGAAGGCCTCCAACGGCCAGCCGTTTCGAAAATGACCGCGGCGTACGTCCGTCACCGCGCGCAGTGGTCCACAATGTAAAGTGGCAGAGGGCGTCACCAGCCGTCCCACGCACGCCTGCTGTTTGCCGCCGTCTGGGTAGACGTTACACTGTCGTGCGTTGTCATCGTTAGTTGCCCTTGCGAGAACGGTTGTGTTACATGGCTGACGTGCTCCGCTAGCTGCCGCTGGTCCTCCTCGTCGTGATTCTGCTTCTCGTCGTCGTCTTTGTTCAGGTGTGCATATTGGGGAGGTTGCCTTCACGTACTCGCAGGAAACGAGGGGTGAGGAAGAGCGTGGCCATGGACGGGCGGTGGCCGAATCTTGCAACGTTGTCGGACACTTATCCCAGCCACCGGCCTGCGATCTGCACCGGTGTAGACAGAAGGGCGGCAGGTCCGTCGCCGTACGAAGGACTCCCGCCTCACATGCAGCCTCTGCCCGATTCGGACGAGGGAGAGGCGGACGTGGACGTGTCCAACACAGTTCCGCTGGGTAGCGGGTCGACCCAGGAATGGATGGGTAGCCAGTTGTATGATCGGCGCGGAGCGAAGTACAGGCAGTCGTTCACTTCCCTCCTCCACCGCCCCCCTCGTCCATGTAAAGCTGTGGGTGATAAGGTGCTTGAATTCTGTGTGAGAGATTGATGTTTTCACTTAGTGACCTTCTTTCTCCTGCACTCATCGTTCAACTATTCACAACACTTTCAAGAAGATGAATACAAATGATTGGCAACAGAAA